TTTTTTTTTTTTTTTTTTTTTTTTTTCAAATATTTTATTTTACTTTTTATATTAAACTAATATTTTCTTTGTCGATTTATCAGTAATAATAATTAGATAATTGGATTCAAATGTTAATAATTTTGTTTACGTCGATATCTCCAATTTTAGTTTACGAGTCCATATTAAATATATTTTACAATATTATTAATGTACATGAACAACGTATGCTCTACATCTTTATATGCTGTTGGAAATTATTAATCAACAAAAAAAACATTAAAATTAACCTAATTGGAAAATAATAATAAAAAAATAACTAAGTCATGAAAAATAATAATTTTTAAATATTTAAGGACTAATTAAGAGAATAATTTAATCATAGCATTTTACGTTAAACGTAATATTAGTAATTACAATTTTGGAAAATCAAATTATGTGTCATAAAATCATTCAAATAGAAAAATAATGTTGATTTTAATTACAAACAGCAATATAAGATGTCAATTAAATAAAATAGACGTGGAGACTTTGATTTTACAGCCCCGATGTGTGCGCCGTCTTGACACCTGCAAAAAAAATTATAATATTATTTTTTACCAAAAAAAAATTATTTAATATTAATTTATTAAAAAAAAAAAAATTACTTACGCAAAAATTATATTGAATTTGATATTAAATAAAAAGGTTATTCCTTCTTCTCATCGGTGGTCGTCTTGTTGGAGGGATTTTGAGACTCTGTGTTTGCAGGTGGTTGTTCTGAAGATTTATTATTATCCGGTGCAACTGCATCTGTCGCGTCTTGACTTGAGTCTGAACTGTCCTTAACATCTTCATCATTTTCCTCCTTTTTTTCTTCACTAGCCTTTGCCGGGGTTTTAGATTCTGTTGCCGGCGCATCTTCAGGCTCTTCCGTCGTTTTTTCTTCCTTGGAGTTGGTCTTCTCAGCATTGTTGTCATTTCCATCAGTAGTCTCCTCACTGTTTTTCTCGGCAACACTCTTGTCCGACGTTTTGCTTTCCTTTTCTTCTTTAGCTTCTTCATCTACCTCCATTTTTTCCTCCTCAACATGCTTCTCATTTTTGTTGTTGGCCTCCTCGTCGGTGTTATTTTCGCTGGTCTTCTCCTGCCTCTTTGGACGTCCACGTCCGCGTCCTGTGCCAGACGATACTTTTGACACAACCTCGGTTTTTTGTTTCTTCGGTGGAGAAGGTGCAGGTGTAGAAGGTGTCAGTCCACGAGCTGAACTGCGGGTACGTCTTCTGCCCTCAACTTCTACTGGCGCTGAACCCATTCCCTAAAAAAAAAATTATATTAATAATCATTTTTCAATAAAATTTTATTTATTTTATTTTTATTTATTTATTCATTTATTTTATTGATAATGAAGATAATTCTCTTTTTGAACACAAATTCAAATGATTACAAAAACTATTGAGAATATATAAATTAAAGTAATAATAATAAAACTAATATCTGCAAAAGTAATAAGTAATAAGTAAAATTAAATTTACATTAAATAAACTAATATAATCCCAAGCAGTATAAAAATTTTTTTGGTAATATTTTGTTTAATTTAATGACACAGAAGTTAGTAGACGTCCAAGGGCCAGTTTTTCAACCCCGGGTTTAAGTATTTTATTATTGTGAATATATCTATATATAATAGATATATAGATATATTCCCAATGATAAAATACTTAAACCCGAGGTTGAAAAACTGGCCCTAAAAATTTTCAATTTTTTTTTATTAATAAAAATACAACTAAAAAGATATTTATAAAAAATTGCACTTGTAGATTTTCAAGTTTTTTAAAAGTCAAATTTTTTTTTAAACTAATTGAAATTTTTTCAATAAAAAATTTTTAAATATTGGCTAACTTCATTTTCATTTAATTTAAGTTGACAATTATTAATTTTTGACTTCTTGTTAAATAGAATTTAGCAAAAAATCAACAGTTTTTTATGCAACGCTTGGGATTTAATAAAAAATTCTTAATTATTAACTTGATTAAAAAAAAAAAAAATTTGCAAAACCTTATAAAAATTTTAAATAAATTAATCAATATATAAATAATTTAAAAAAGCCGCCAGATTAAGAACTTTCTCTTATAAGTACAATCAAAAACCGATTGGAGCTCTCCCCCACTTTAAATATATATTTCATCATTCACTCGCTGTTGGTTATACTTTATACTTGTTTTATTCTAAATCCAACCACCACACTATCGACACATAAAGAATATTAAATATACTTAAAATTAAAAATAAAAAAAAAAAATATTGTAAAATAATTTTTCGCTCCAAAAAATAATTATCAAAATACCTTAACAAGAGCTTCGCCTTCCTGAGCCGTTCGTTCAAGAGTAGACAGTCTCTTGGAGCCGCTTCGTTTGTTTTTACTAGGAGTTGGTTTTTCCTCTGACTGGTCCTGAAATAAAATAATTACAATTACTCAATACAGTAAAAAAAAAAACAAATGACAAAAAATTTGAAGTAAAATATTCTAGGATTACGAGGAAAAAAAAATGGAATTTTAAATAATGTGATGATAATTATAAATGCTGATAAGGCTATCGAAGACCATTGAACCATGGGCGGTACTCATAGCCCATTATTTGTTATAAGTTAGCTCCAATAATCATAAATCATAATTAGTAAATATAAATAGTGTAATTAATTATTGTGAAATAATTTTATGGAGTATGAATGTTGATAGTTTGAATTATTTAAATTGTTAGAAGAGTAATTGATGTTTTAAATGATAATAAATTTAGAGTGTAGTTGACCGATGATGTTAAGTATATAGGTAAATGATTTCCCGCCTTTTTGAATGCCGAGTCGCCGGCGTGGAGAGCAGCGACTCTCGTTACTCGGTTGAAAAATAAAAAACATCCACCATCTTTGCCAATGAAGGACGTACAGCGCAGCTTCAAAAAATTCCACTATTACAATTAATGATAAATTGGAGGCAATTATTTAAAAAAAAAAATTGGCGATGAGTAAAATAAATTAAAAAATAATAATAATTAGAAAAATAGAGCACTGATGATAAATATGAATAATAAATAGGTGGGAGCGTTATCCCGTATTTGAGGTATACCTACACGCCGTATTAGCATGAAAACTCGGCTTGATGAAGGATTAACACCAATTAAAAGGACTTACCTTGGACATATCGTCAATGTTATTATCGTTCTTGGTCTCTGCTTTGATATCGGACATTTCTTAGCACCTCAATCACACAATAAACACACTAAAACCACTAATTTAATCAACAGCTATCCTTACTGCGCCCGGTCGCACTGTTTATACGATAAGCAAAGATGGCGGTTAGCGTGGGTCACGTGACACTGTTAAACTCGGAGCGGGAGTTCGCAGTGTGTGACGTGACAATACACACCGAATGGAACACCGAACACTGTACTAAAAAAATATAATAATAATAGTAGTGGTGGAAAAAAGAAAAAGCCGGAATTAAACTACTCTCGCCACCACACCGGCACTCTATATGACACACCACTGCGCATATGTCCAGCGCACGCACACTACACTCCCGAAAACAACTTCCTCTTGTCCTCTTCTCCTTCGTTGTTTCGTCGTTGTCCTCGAAACCGATCCTCCTATCAGTCTGACTTCAGTAGCGTTTCATTTTTTTAATTATACTGAAAATATCGCGACTATTTTTTTACATTAAAAAAAATTTATTATAATTTAATTCGTTGACAGGTCAAAATTTTTATACTTTTTTTAAATTAAAAAATTATTACAAAAAAATATGAAAATTAAATTAGCAGACATCTGACAATTTTTAGAATTTTTCTTATTGAAAAAATTATTACTAAATAAATAAAAATTTCAGATGCAGAAAATTTAAAAAATTAAAAATGTAATTTTTTTAGATAATACTAAAGTTAGCCGACGTTTTTAAGTTTTTTATTATTTTTCATTTATTAAATTAGAACTAAAAAATATTTTTAAAAAATTGTACTCATAGTTTTTCATGTTTTTTACAAATGAAATTTTTTTTTAATTTTCAGATGTCGGCTAACTTAATTTTCATTTTTTTAGTTATAATTTAATTAATGATAACAATTAAAAAATTTTGAACGTCGGCTAATTTTAATGACATTAAAGTCAGCTGTCGCTTGACAATTTTTTAATAAATAAATTTGCTCCAAAAAATTATTTCTAAAAAATTGAAGTTTTTATTTTTTTAATTTTCTAAATGTTAATTTTTTTTTCTCATTTTCTTTGACATAATTTATTTATAAAAAAAATTATCAAATATCTGCTAAATTAATTTTTATTTAATTTTAACATCACAAAAATGTTACTACATTTTAGAAAAAAATGTGAACTGTCAAAATTTATTATGTTAAAAAAATAAATAAAGTTTTTTACATTAATTTTGCTGTCGCTTAAGCTCAAATGAATATTAAAAAAATTTTTTTTTATTATGTAATTGATGATAAAAATATGTAACATTGAAATTAGCAAACTTGATAATTTGTTTAAAATAAACTAAGTATAGAAAATTATTTATAAAAAATTACACTTGTAATTTTTTAGCCTCTCAAGGCGGAATTTTTAAAATAAATTTTTCTTGCCCTAATTTATTAATTAAAAATTTTATAAAACTTATCAGATGTCTCTCAATTTCAGTATCATTAAAAAAATTTAATTAAAATGTTTGCTATTTTTAATATTATTTTTTAATCCATGCAAATATGTAAAACATAATTTATATTTTATTTATTAAATCATGCATAATTCTTATACGAAAATTTAAATACTTATACATGATATCTCTCATACATTCCACTTATTACAAACATATCAAAATACAATCTGAAAATCAAAAGAAGAAATTAATTGATATGAATTTTTTAAATACCAAAAAATTGTTTTTAAATACTTACTAATATAAAAATGCTTTTTGCATTATGTAGTAATTTTTAAAATAAAATAAAATATGTTAAATTGTTTACAATTATTACCAGTTGTAATCCAGTTGTTTATTATAATTATTTATCACTGAAGATACAAAAATAAAGATTTAACGCATAAATCTTTTTAATCATAAAAAAACGAATTGATTATTAATGCGTAGGCATTCGTCTGAACCAAAATCTTGCTCTAAAGTCATCACTGCAAGTAAGGAATGCTGGAGCAGTTGGTGAATGGACGATAAGCCTTACAGGTCCATTGTGTCCAAGCGACAATAATTGTTTTCGCGATGCGTTCCTCGAGTTCCAAGCACAGAGAGACGTGGTTGCTTCATCGGGGAACATGACATAATCCTCAGTGTGATTGAATATTGCCTGAGCTTTATGCTCTTGTTTACCTACATGCATAATTTAAATATATATATATACATCTTTCTTTTTATCTATTTCTATTTTTTAAAACTATTTATAACTCCGATCAATAAAATAGTAACTATAATCTTAAAAATTACCTGTAGTTCCAGCACCTGTGTACGCTATTAAACATCTGCTTGTCGATAATTCCCATAGTTTTATTAATGAGTCCTTACCAGATGACAATAAATACTAAAATAATAGTTAGAAAATTAATTTCAATAATAGATAAATTGTTATTAAGGTAAGTGTCAATATTCATACAAATAAATGTAAATACGAAGAACGATTAATAAAAAATCTATTAATTAAAAGTCAATGTATAACTTATTAAAAACTTATAAAAAAATTATCAATACATATTTCAATATTGATTATGATCAATCATTTAAAATTATAAAAATTTTTTAATTTTAAGTAATATTGACACTTACTCTAAAATTATTAAATTAATTATTATGATACTGAAATTGAGAGACATTTGAAAATTTTTAGAATTTTTTTTAATAAATAAATTAGCAATCTTGCAGTCACTATGTGACTGCTGTGAATTGTGAACTATAAATAAATAAAATTTTGATTTATTAAATAATGACTTTTGTTAATTGCACTGTACTTTTTTAACTATTGATGTTTTCAATAATATAAGCTCATTCTGAGATTATAATCAAGAGCTTTCATTAGAGCACCCACATGCATTTTTGATATATTTTTCATATATACATATATGTAATATATAGAAATATATAAAATATATGATAAATTGATGTGGGTACTCAAATGAAAGGTCTTGACGAGTGTAACATCGGGATGAGCTTATATCTTTAAAAATGTCAATAGTTCACGAGATATAGGGTAATTATTAAAAATATAGACTTTTCTAACGATACAAAATTTAACCATAAAAACCCATTTTATCATCTAAATACACTGGCTTCAAAATTTTGCTTATTCTCTTAATATAGATTATAAAAAAAAAATTTCATTTTTATAAGCTCTAAAAAATTAAAAATACAATTTTTCAAAAAAAATCTAAAAATTGTCAAATGTCTGCTACTTTCAGTGTCATTAATTATAAAATCTAAATTAAAACAAACCTTTCCATTTCTAGTAAACTCAACAGAGCAAACTTCATAACCATCGTGTGCTTTAACAAAGGTATTGATACATCTATTTGAAACACCATCCCACAATTTAATACTCCCATCTTTTCCAGCAGACGCATAAGTTTTAGCATCTGACGAGTATTTAATACTCGTAATACCAGCAGTGTGTTGCTGATTAGGTATGCTACAAACAAAGCACTGAGAAGTTGTTACATCATAAACTCTAACAACTGGATGGTTCGTCCCAACCACCAGAAAATCTCCACTAGGATGAAAAGACAAGCAGCGAATTTGATCTGCGTCATTTATGGTACGGTAGGCTTTTTTCACACTCGCTTTGCTGTAGTCGAATAATTTTATTGTGAAATCACGACTACCGGACACCAAAATCGGCTCACGGGGGTGAAACTCCAAGCAAGTTACCTCTTCAGTGTGGTCGTACAGAGTTCTGATTACCGGGTGTCCAGTGGTTTGGTCCGCTGGTACCATTTCATCTGGAGCAGACTTGGCCAACATTCTGTCGACATCCAGGATTTTAATTGACGAGTCGTAAGAACCGGTTGCGATCAGTTGTCCGTCTGGAGAAAAAGCTCCAGCTCGGCAGTTTCCTTTGTGCGATGTTACGTAAGCTGTTTCATATTGTGCTGGCTCAGGTGCTTGTGTTTGGGCTTCTGTTTCATACTCCAGATCCAAACCGGGACCCAAAGTATTTTCGAAACTGGTAAATGACGAGTGATTGATGTTGTCTTTTTTGGAGCGGTCTGGCTCATTTGCCAACCCAATTAGCATCAAATGCAATAATCTGTCTGATGGCGGACATGGTGGCTCAGCTTGGATTAAATTTGATAATTGTACTGCCAGTGTTTGATGTCCGTCGTAAAATAATTGACTAAAAAAACCATAAAAATTAATTATAAAATATATTAATATTTTATAATTAATAAATTTAATTCAATTAATAAAATTATATATTAATATAAAATTAAGTTATAATTTTAATAATTTTTTTAATAAATAAATTATGACAAAAAAAATTGACTTGTAGAAATTTAAAAAAATTAAAAATGCAATTTTTTAGAAATAATTTTTTAGAACAAATTTGATTGTTAAAAAAAAATTAAAAATGATCAAGAGACTGCTAACTTTAATGTCATTTAATTTAGTAGATATTTAATTAATAATTGTAAAAATTTTTTTAACAAATAAATTATGGCAAAAAAAAGTTAGAAAAAAAAATTGACATATAGAAATTTAAAAAAATTAAAAATGCAATTTAAAAAAAAAAAATTAAAAAATTGTCGACTGCTAACTTTAATGCCATAAAAAAACCGGAGTTATTAAAAATATGTCAAATAAAAAAATATAATTTCTAGTTTAAAAAATAAAAAATATTCAATAAGTAATTTATATTTCTTAAAAAAAAAAATTGTGTTTACTTATGGTATAAAAAATGAAAAATTTTACCTGATAATCATTCTATACAAAAGTTCTCTGTTTTTAATAACATTTTTCTTATCTACTTCTGAGTCTTTTATGATGCTATTTTCTGTAGCCATTATTTTTCTTTTAAATTATTAATTTCTAAATAAATCAATAAATTAATTCTTCAGTTTTTTTTTTCTTTAGAATTTTTATTTTTTACTTTCAATCAATGACACGACCAGATACTACAGATACTGCGGCACAATTTGTTGATTAAGTTTTGAGGTTAAGTTGAGTTGTTGTCATTGTAGAAAATACTTACAGGATAAGTCAGTAATAAATTACTAAATAACACTCCAATATTCATTTTCTCTGTAATAAAAAAAAAAAAAAAAAAAAGTAAAATAATTAATATTGCTTTTGAATTAATAAGAAATTTATCTGAAAATTATATAAATAATTTAATAAAATATAATATTAAAATTTTTAGATATCTATTGATAATAAATCACGTGATCAAGTATTTTGTTAAGAAAAAAATGATTGAATATGGACAAATCGAGTGAAATAAGTCAAAAACCAGAGGAAAATAAATCTAAAGAAAATTCTGATTATATATTGAGAAAAACAACTCCTCCGTCTTTTCCCAGAAGAAAAAAGGACATTTATGTGTCAAATAAATCGAGCATCCAGGTAATTATTTTTTACTCACTGCATTAACCTAAATTAAACAATGCTTTTATTTATTTATAATAATTTGTATTTTTAGGCGTTGATAAAAAAGTGTGAAAAATTGTTTGATTCTGGAGAAACAGAGCTTATTATTCATGGTCTCGGAGCTGCTCAGTACAGAGCTTATGAACTAGCTTTGCAATTGCAGTCGATTCATCAAGGTACCTTGGGTCTGGATGTTCGTACTGGAACAGTTAAATTAACTGGTAATTTTTATTTCATTATAACAATTTTATACAATCACTACACTGAAAAAAAATTTTAACTTGAATCAAAAGTAAAATTTACTTAAACCAAGTAAAATTTTTTAGTTTAAGAATTTTTTAATTTATACTCAAAAGATGAAATTCTTCAAAATTATTTACTTGATTCAAGTTAATTTTTTTTTTCTGTGTACAAATATTTTTAAAGATTTATAAAAATTTTCTATTCTTAACTAAATAATTTTTGACAAAAACCCACGTGGTGTAAATAAACCACGATTATACTTTTTGTTTACATTTAATAAAATAATAAAAATAAAAATTTATTTTTCAGATGATTTAGAACCACTGACTGATGAAGGAGATTACAAATTAAATCATAGATTAAATTCATCAACGCACATTAGAGTATTTAGAACAGTACTTGTGGGTCCTTTCAAGTATGCTAGCTAATTACTGAATAATAATCAGCTTATTTAATCAATAAATAAAAAATTTAATTGCACACTTTAACTATGATGTCTTCCGTTTAAAATAAAAAATAAAAATAAAACGATAGCTAAAAAATAACAGACATAAAAATAATAAAAAATGATATTTTCATTGAATGAGATAGTTCATTGGCTTGGATTAACAATATTTGAAATATGGATAAATTTAGTATCCTTAACAATATTCACAGTACTATTAGCCCTGAAATTAGATGAACATTATTTCCTCGGCTACTCAGGATGGTGGGCGGTATTTTCGCCACTATTTGTAGCAGATGGCTTGAATACATATTTTTGCGCAATAATATTTATAAGAATGCACATGGAGGGAATGATTAAAACAGGAATACTACGTGCATTGTGGAGCTTAGTTTCACTATTGTTAATTTTTGTATTTAAATATTTACTATGTAAAAAATTATCCGGTCAAAGTAATCTCGAATACTCGGAAGTATTGAGCCCGGTATTTATTCTGCTTCAATTGGTCGCGGTAAGGGCTTGTCAACTTCATTGACCAACGTATCGTAGTCAAGAAAATATTCAGGCATCGATTGTCGTATTTTCTTGCGGTCCATCAGCCACTTATTTTGACGTCTACAGATAACACACGATTCACCATACATTTTAAATATCTGTAACAATAATAATATAATATTAACATTATTTGTACAAATACTTAAAATTAACTAAGGTAAAAGACCCCATTAGTGGCACTTTTTCTTTCAATTAAAAAAAATGTTCTACTTGGAAGAAAAAAAATTTTTTTGATTCAAATCTCTTAAAGATTAGAAATAATATTGCGTTACAGATAATTTTTATACGCCCTTATGCCACCCGAGAATCATAAAGGCGTATAATAAAAATTCTATTTTTTTTTCTAAGTCCAAAAAAAATTTTTAGTTTGGACAAATTTTTTTTTTTGCATTTCTGCAAGTTTCATTCAAAAATAAAAATTTTTTTATATTTTTTCATAAAATGTGCAGAAATAAAAAAAAAAATTTTTTTATATTATTGAAATTAATTATTTAATTAATTGAATAAGTACCAAAATCAAAGAAAGTGTCAGTAATTGGGTCCCCGCCACTAGTGGAGTCTTTTACCCTATTAGCTATTGTAATATTTAAGTAATAGTTTAAAAACAATTATAAAACCAATTCTTCTCTTTTGTACATAAATACTTATAAGATATTTGTATAATGTAAATTGAATAATGATGATTAATTATTCCATATTGTTAAATAAATAAATAAATAAATTTTCTATTTATTGTAAAAATAAACTGTTGTTATTTAAATATATATATATATAGTGTACTTTAAATCCATTTATGTACGGCTATTTAATCACCAGTTTAACGTTTTTTTTTCTTCTTTATATATAGTTTTGTCTTTGAAGTATTTTTAGAATGTCTTAGCGGGTAGCAGCTCATACTCTGGTATAATGAATTTGTTATTCGGACAAAATTTAATGAAATCGTGTCATCGATCATGGCAATCATGAAATTAGAATCTAAATATAGACAAAGTCGATAATCGATTGAAAGATGATAATCGTCATCCTGTGATATGTATATTGTTAAAACGACCGAGTTTCATTTCCATATCCTATTTAGCATGATAAATATCTAAAAAGAAAAAAAAATAAATAAATAAATGAACAATATTGATTGTAATGGAATTATAAATGAATGATTAATAAATTACCAAGTCGTGTACTTGATATAACTTTGTATCAACAAGTTAACATCGAAGCTCTGATGTAATATATACCTATAGTAACCTGAGTGAGGGGCAGTGATAAAGTTGTAGCAGTATCTCCCTGAGATAACTGGGTCGTCTTATCGGTCTTTTAAAATCAGTTAAAATTTACCGTCGACTATTTCACCCCAGACTCCAAATAAAAGCAGTATTTCTTCTTCCTGTGGAATGTAAATATCTGTAAACAATTGATAAAAAACTGTACTTGTAAGTAAAGTACAATGAGATATTTTATAAAGAGTTAAATATAATTGAATCCCAAAAATAACCAATTTAAAAAGTATCTCAGCATCATATCAGCAGCAGTAGGAGAAGTAGCAATAGCAGCTCGCCTATGGATAGGAGTATGTACCCAAGTCGGGTGGATAACACTACCGCTACTCTCTCTGACACCCTTCTTCACTCTTTCCCACCCTCTCTCAAGACCAAGATCAATATTTCCCAGCCCAAGAGAGACAGAGAGACAGAATTCATCTCGCTTCAGAGGTGGTAGGGGCGAAAATTAAAGTACTATAACCAGCAAAGCCTGTTGCTGCTGCTGCACTTTGCAACTTGTTTCAGTAGTGAGTGCTTCATCTGCCTGCTTGCTTGCTTGCTTGCCTTAAGCTTGTTCAACTGATCGGTTGATCAACTGATCACTGGCCATCGTTCCTTGATCACTTGCCATAATATATCTCATCAGTCCGCCCAAATACTAACACCTGGTTAATTAAAAAGGGCCACTTAGTGATGTGTGGTGAGCTGCATTCAAGAGATTATGGATAGACTTCCTGATTGGACTTATGGTTAATAAAATAAACTATTATATTTTTTATTTTGCTAATTACTCACTCTTCTAACTTTTATACTCAATTTTTTATTTATTTATACTCTAGTTTTCTTTAGTACTTTTTTTGCTTTTTTTGCACAGATTGCTCTCAATTATTTGGTGCCTCTGTTTTTTTATTTCTTCCCGCTGGTCGGATATTTAAGCTCATTTTTTTAAAAGAAGATGATATAAATACGCAGTCACCGGTTCTATTGATTAATTATTGTTGTTATAATTTTTTTTCGGCGGATTATAAAAAGTTACCTGAATTTGTAATTAATTTTATTTATAATTATTTTTTTTAACAGGTGTAAATGGAACGACGTCACAGCCCGGTCAGAATTGCGGCAACGCTACAAGTTTGTCACGCGACGAAATCCTGGTAACTGCACCATCCTGGACAGCAGTTAATCAGCATCTAAAATGGATTTTTCCTTTACATTCTTACGGATTTGCGTGTCTCTTCTTTGTACTGAGCTTCTATACTCTCTTCTCTATTTTAAATTTAAGGTATATTTATTATAATACTAAAAAAATTAATAGAAATTTAATTTTATTTCTATAATAACTCAATTATTATAAAAAATTCTATGTCCAAAAATTAAAAAAAATTAAGTGCAAATTTTTTACATAAAAGTCAAAATAAATGATGATATACTGGTTAGCTAAATAACACTAAAGTTAGCCGACGTTTTTAATTTTTTTTAATTATTAAATAAGAACTAAAACATATTTTTTAAAAATTGCACCTGAAAGAGTTTTTCAGGTTTTTTACAAATGAAAATTTTTTTTTATTATTTTGCAATAATTTTTTTAATAAAAAAAAGTTCTAAATATTTTTAAATATATCGGCTAACTTAATTTTCATGCTAGCTGACACTTGTTAATTTTTTTTTTAATTTTTATAATAAAAAAAATGCTTCTAAAAATTTTCATTATTAATTTTTTTTTTTAATTTTCACAATTGGAATTTTTTTATTAAATTTTTTTTTCACAATAATTTTATTGTTATAAAATTATAAAAAAATTTCTAGTGTCTGTCAACTATAGTGTCATAAATAATTGATGGAAATTAATTTAGCAGATATTTAATAATTTTTTTAATAAATAAATTATGGCAAACAAAAATTGACAGAAAAAAAAATTGACATGTAGAAATTTTAAAAAATTAAAAATACAATTTTTTTGAAATAAATTTGTTTGCTAAAAAAAAATTAAAAAATGGACAAGACTGCTAACTTTAATGTCATAAATAATTATCAGATGTTTATCAGATTTACTAATAATTTTATATAATATTTAAATAATGTTTAAAAAATAATGAAAATTAATTTAGCAGATATTTGATAATTTTAACAATTTTTGTATCAAATAAATTGTTGCAAAAAAATGAGAAAAGAAAAATTGACAAGTAGAAATTTAATAAAATTAAAAATGCAATTTTTTAATAATAAATTTGTTTTATAAAATAAAATAAAAAAATTGTTAAATGACTACTGACTTTAATGTCATTAAAAAATAATTTGAAAACATATTTATTATTTTTGACAGGTCTCTTATCTCTAGTCGGCCTTTCATGATCACAATTAACGTATTCCTATGTATTCTTGGAGCATCCCGAAGTGGCTGTTTGTTTATTGATCCTTATAATCTGCAAGAGGTTAAGATTTAATAATTATTTAAATTACGTTAACATAACTAAATAATTTAGTAAATTGATAATCAATAGCAGTAACAGTACATTTAATGAATAATTATTTTAGACGATGCCGAAAGTAATTGGCTCAATAATGTGGGACATTGGATTTCCTTGTGTGACCTCGGCCTTTTGCCTCGTTCAATTGGCCTTCCTTCAACTTACCCAAGTAATAATGATAATGATAATAATAATAGTAATCTAATATTCAAACAACCGCACAAACAAAATTTTGTTAATAAATAAACACTTGACAGATAAAGTTCGGCCCCAAGAGACTGCAAAAGGAATCATGGTTGAGTTTTGTGATAACTTCCCATTTTTCATTTGTTATTGCAAGCGACGTTGCCTTGGCTTTTCACAATCATTACGTTACCAAATACGTTGTACAAACGCTTTTCCTCATCTGGAGTATTATCTTGTACCTGACATTTCTTCACGCCGGCTACAAAGCAATGGATATCGTAAGGACTTTACCAAGTAATGCACTCATTCGTGACAGTTCATTGGGTAATCAAAAAGGTATTTTTGTTGTTTTTTGGTTCTTAAAAATCAACCTCTTTTTATTTTATTCTTCTTAATAAAGAACTTGCCAATAATTCATTAAGAAACTCACAAAAATTTATATTTCTTCTTTTTTTGTCTTGTTTTTCACTGATATTTCTTAATTTCTACAGTAGTATCCTTTTTTTTTTTTTTCCTTTAAAAAATTGTAAAAACTTTACAGATTAAAAATAAATCTCATATTATGATTGAAATATTTTTTTTTAACACAAAAATCTAATAATAAAAAACATTTTTCAACATTTTCAAAATAGATAAAATTGACCACAATTACAACTAAAATTTAAAAAAAATAAAAATTAACTAATCTATATTATTAAGAGAAAAAGAAAAATTTTATGTCCAAGATAGTCATATTATAAAATTGGTTTTTTTAACAGATATCTTGTGAAATATTGACATTTTTAAAGATATAAGCTCATCCCGACGTTACAATCATCAAGACCTTTCATTTAAGTACCCACATCAATTTTTCATATATTTATATATATTATATATATGTATATATGAAAAATATATCAAAAATGCATGTGGGTACTCAAATGAAAGCTCTCAATGTGTGTAACATCGGGATGAGCTTATATCTTTAACAACATCAATAGTTAAGAAATGACATTGAATCTTGTCATCTAATGATATTTTTAAAGTTATAAGCTCACCCTCATATTACACTCATTGAGACCTTTCATATAAGTACCCACATCAATATTTCATATATTTTATATATTTCTATATATTACATATATGTATATATGAAAAATATATCAAAAATGCATGTGGGTACTCAAATGAAAGCTCTCGATAAGTGTAACATCGGGATGAGCTTATATCTTCAAAAACGTCAACAATTAAGAAAGTGCAGCGCAATTTAACAAATATCTTGAGAACTATTGACATTTTTAAAGATATAAGCTCACCCCGACATTACACTCATCGAGACTTTTCATTTGAGTAGACACATCAATTTTTCATATATTTATATATATTACATATATGTATATATATATGAAAAATATATCAAAATGCATGTGGGTACTCAAATGAAAGCTCTAGATGAGTATAACATCGGGATGAGCTTATATCTTTAAAAACGTCAATAGTTAAAAAAGTACAGTGCCACTTAACAAAAGTCATTTAAGAAAGCAAAATTTTATTTGTTCATAGTTTACAAGTCACGGAAGTAACATAGTGACTGCAAGGTTGCTAGTTTTATTTAAAATTAATTTGTTTTTAATGCTGAATATTTTAAATTGTTGATAAAACACCAAAATTTAAAAATTTTCTACAAATGTTCCAATCATAACTTTTTTTTTTTATTTCAACTTTTTCATGTTCTAATGCTCATTAATAATAATATTGACGTTTTCTAACAAAATTTTAATCAAAAGCAAGACAAGTATACATTTAAAAAATTTTTCAAAAAAAAACTAAAGCTTTGCATCTAATAAAAACTTATATTTTTATTTTAGGCATAATGCAATTAGCAATGTTGGCTCCATACAATAATCTGGCTTCCTCTGTTGCTGCAGCTCTAGTTCCCACGTTGTTTAGCCAAAGAACAAAGTCTGAAGACACTGAAATAATAAACATCAATTGCAATGAAAACATTAAAATGGAAAATGAACGAAGGGACCAATTTAATAGCAATTCAACAGCAATATCAAATGTTAAAAATAATAAAGATTACACAAACCAGCAGCAGCAGCAGCAGCAAACATCAACAGTTCCAGAAGTATACGTAAGACCACCCACTCCAACTCCATCAGCAGTTCTTCCAATAATAACAGTGTCATGTCCAAGTCGGCGAAGCTCTTTGGCGAACAGCCGACGGGGTAGCGACGTATCGGGCCGGGAATCTAGAAGAAGCTCAGCAAGCAGTGTTAAGTTCATAAATGAAGAAGACAACTCGTCTATTGCAGAAAAAAAATCTCCTGTTACTGACAGACCGGTTACACCGGAAGGAATCTTAAGGAGAAACTCAGACATACAAACCCCAACAGGCAGCATTAAAGATCTTCGTCGATGCTCCGACTTTAGTCACGAGAAGAATAGAACTTCTCAGTTTGCGACAAAGCTGAGAAGAAATTCCGATTTTGGAAATCGAACGCCAAAAAGAATGCTTCCAACAGACGAACCAAGATTGCCGCAAGTTCTTGACGTAAGTCCTAGTAGTTCGCGGCGAAATTCAGATCTTGGTGGTCTGGCTGCTGTTAAAATACCAGAGTCGAGGCGCAATTCCGACATTTCTTACAGACGCAGTTCAGATATAGGACAAATTCGACCGCTGTTTATGAATCGCCGTACTAGTGATGTCAGTATCAAAACTTTGGACAAAAGCCCGACACACTTTCAAAGCACAGTACCTAAGATGGAGATATTGGAAAATAAATCGGAATCAGATTCAGATCAACATGATTACTGCAATGAAAAGGCTGCGCTGATGAATAATGATAAGCCAAAGTCTAAAGAAGAGGATAACAGAGGACGGAAAAAAAGCTTGTCGTGGAAAAATATTGACAAGTTTAAAGATGATCAAGATATCACTGCTGAGAGCAGTTTGCTGCCTGATAATAACAACTCAGCGTCTGATAGAGTAATAAATTTTACTTTTTATTTTTATAAATAACTGTTTGTTTGTTTGTTTGTTTGTTTGTTTGTTTCTTTTTCTTCTTTACCAGATTGTCTATTATTAGAAAAATATTTTATTTCATGCATTACAATTTTTTTTTTCATGAATAAAATTATTTCTTCAGGGAGGAAGTGACTTTACTCTTCATGCTATTCTAAATCACATTGCAAATGTGAATCGTGCTAAAACAGACATTCCACTTCAAATAGAATCGTCCTGTGGAGTCAGTCGTAAATCACAAGTACGCAGAGTTCTTCATGTTATTTATGCAACAGCTGTCTTGGGAATTATTCTATGTATTATAGACATTGCTAGAATATTTGGACCATACGGTAAGTCTATTATTTTAACTTTATTGATTAGTTTTTAAATAATCTATGTTATGAAGAGAACTAGCAAAATTTTGTGCCCAGTTTATTTATATGATAAAATGGGTTTTTATGGATAAATTTGGTATCGTTGAAAAAGTCTTGAATTTGTGCCATTTCATGGTTTCATATCATTCTCACCAGTAGTCAATTTATGATGTATTCAGGCTGCATTCTAAAATGCTCTATCTCTAGATACATAATTAAGAAATTATCTTGTGTCTTGTGAAATATTGACATTTTTAAAGATATAAGCTCATCCCGATGTTACACTCATTGAGACCTTTCATTTAAGTACCCACATCAATTTTTCATATATATATATATATATATATATATATGAAAAATATATAAAAAATGCATGTGGGTACTCAAATGGAAGCTCTTGATGAGTATAACATCGCGATGAGCTTATATCTTTAAAAATATTATAAGTTAACAAAATACTATATAATTTCTTAATTATAGACATTTTTAAAAATATAAGCTCATCCCGATGTTACACTCATTAAGACCTTTCATTTAAGTACCCACATCAATTTTTCATATATTTTACATATTTATATATACTACATAAATGTATTTATGAAAAATATATCAAAAATGCATGTGGGTACTCAAATGAAAGCTCTTAATGAGTGTAACATCGCGATGAGCTTATATCTTTAAAAATGTCAATAGTTAAAAAAGTACAGTGCAATTTAACAAAAGTCATTATTTATTAAAGCAAAATTCTATTTATTTATAGTTCACAAATCATGGGAGTCACATACTGACTACTAGGTTGCTACTTTAGTATTGTTATTATTTTTTTTTTAATATTGGTTATTTTTTAGGACTGCTAGGTGCTACTTTAAATTACGGAGAACGCCTGGAAGCTGTGAAATATCCAAAACCATTACCTTGGATAATATATCAGACTATTTGTCGTGGATTAGAATTAATAATGGGCTGTTGCATGGCAAGTATTACTAAACAATCATCTATAAGTCCAAGGCATCAGTATTTTAATAATTACAATAACAGTTATCGCTTCAAACAGCGAGATACTCCTTATATATAAAAATACTTAAAGTATAAAAGTATATTATTATTAGTAAAATAATTTATTAATAAAAAGTAAGCAATATATTTCGATAAAAGTTTGCCAAAATTATAATTATTATTTATTCGTTTAAATAAAAATTAGATTAAAAATAATAATATTTAATTAATTCAAGTAAATCCATTTGATCATTGATTATAAAATTAAATTTTTACGTTTTATTAATACTTTATTACTATCATGAGAAAATCTATCTTGGGAACATAAACTTTACTTGCTGTGAATGTTGTTTAAAATAATACTAGTATATAATACTAATAGTAATAGTAAATTAAGTTAAATATAATACAACGTCGGTTGATATTATTGTCCAGATTGCGCAATAGATCGGTACTGATTCTAAAGAACAAATAATTGTGTTCAATTACTAAAAAAAAATATTATTAATGTCAAAGCTTTGTTAAAATTTTTTTTATTAAACATATTAATATTAATTATTTATATCAAACATTCCGAGAAAAAAAAAACAAGATTTTTTTAAGAAAAAAAAAAAAAAAAAACCATCAAATGGTTTATTAATTTATTTTTGTACTAAATCCTAAAATAGCTTAAACAATAATTATTTATTAATTAATTTAAAAAAAATAGCGAGTGTGAGTTACTCTTGAGGACCTTAATATCTTACCGTAAATTTCTAATTAAAATATCAATTACAATAATCAAAAGTACTTACAATTAAATATACAAGTTTAAGGAAGAAAAAATTTTTAATCATCAAAGAATAGATTTTCTTGAATATTTCTTCTTATAAATAAATAAAATATATGTACATGGTTTGTATACTTCGAACCCGACTTTCCAAGTGCCCTAACTGTTTATCACTGTTCAATCAAACATTTTAATAATTAAAAAATATAAATATAAATATACATAAAAAAAAAAATATTATATATACACCAGTGTTGTGATTCTATTAATGTGATATTCATCTTGATGTCTATAATCTCGAGAATTAATTAAATGAAAACTTGTGTTTCATCAGAGATTACCTATGCATATGTGTGTATGTGAGGAAACAAGCATCAATTATAATTATTTAATAAAATAACTAAATCTCTTCATCCAAGTACAAAACAAATAATCTCCGATACCTCGCAAACAAATATAACACTACTGAAAATCACTCAGCATTATAATTTTTAAAAATAAAAGATTTAATATATATATATAGGTGTTTAATGTGCCAAATAATCAGCGTGTTATCTACTTAAATGTTTATGGATTAAAATAATAATATTATTAATGATGATGATGTATAAGATATTTAAATATACAGTAATATATCAAATTTTCATATACTTCATATAAAATAAAAATTATAATAATAAATACTTGAGTATTTATCGTCATTAAAATGTTATTTGTATACGATTGGATGCACAATAATTATCAAAATAAAAATTATTCTTTAAAAATTATTTAAGGTAAAAAATTTTAATAGATTTTTTTTTTTTTTTTTAAATTAATTGTGTAGTAAATTTTTACATAAGTGAGATTAATTTTTTTATTATAATAAAAAAATAAATTAATTAAATTAATAAAAAAATTAATTTATAAATATTTTAAATAAAATAATTTTTTTTTTTTATTATTATAAGAAAATTATCGCATCAAAATTTTCCATTAGTCTGGATTATAATTTAAAATAAATGTTATGTAAATAGAGTATCGTAATGATATAAAAAAAATAATTGATACTTGAAAAAAAAAATTTTCTTAATTATGTAATATTGTTACAATTTAATAATTAATTATGTAAAAGTTAACAAGTAAGATGTATCTTAAATTTATAATGAGAGTTTAGAAAAAAAAAAAAACATTTTTTTGCTCTGTATATTTTTTGTTTTATTAAATCAATATATATCATACCCTTGTGTACATCAATAAACCATGAGAAATGAATAAAAAATAAATTTAAATTGTATAATTTACTGGAAATGACGGTAGTGTTGATGAAATTTTAGAATTAAATTATTTCTTACATCACCCATCCAGCGTTTGTCATAATTAACATTGTTACCAAGAACACTTGAAAATCCGATAAATAAATATTATTTATAATATATAAATAACAATAAAAAATTAAGTATTATGTAATTAATAAAATAAATGTTTATATAAATATATTCGTCTGTAAAACATGTTGTTTGTAATAATCCGAACTGAATGTTACACGTTGGTGAGTTAAATAAATGTTTCAAAAGTATGCAGAGTAGAGATGAAATAAACTTTAAATATCTTTGGAATATAATTTTGAAATGTTAATTTTTTTTTTATCTATTTGTTTATTTATTTATTTATTTATTTATTGATCCATGGGTTTGAATTTATTTTACTTCCATTTAGGATTTGGATAGTCAAAATAGTCTATTTCTAGTTCTGTTGATTTAGAAGTACTCCAAGTGGGAGTTGGTAATTTTTGAGATTTGCTGGCAGTTGATGGTAAAACTTCTGATGATCTGAAATAAAAAATTTATTGATTATAAATTTTTTTATTACTATATTTATTTTTAACAATTAATACATAATAATAAAAATAATTATTTACCCTGGTGTAGCAGTTTTAACAGAATTTAACAATGGTCTTGGCACTTTACGTTGACCATTTTCCCTCTGAACTATTTCTAACAGGCTGTAACTTGGTAACCAGCACTAAAAAAAAAATAACAATAATTACAATCTATATTATTAAGGAAATCCTTTCGCTCCAGTTGAGTCAAAACAATTGTAGTAGTCAATATACGATAAATTAAAAAAAGAAACCCATAAAAATTCCTAAAATTAAATAATAAATAGTATATGAGGCATTAATCGTTGAAACTTTGAAAAAAAAAAAAAAAAAAAATAGTTAAATACAAAAATTAATTTGACTCTTTCAAATCAACTGCTAGTAACCTGTCCGTGATTTGGCAACGCTGTACTTCGGCTGTTTACATTTTCATTTGCACAATATAACCTTAAACACGTTTAAGTTTTTGCAGTCAGTGTAAATAAATAAATTAGTTTGAATTTATTAAATGGTCTGAAGCTCGCGCGCTACGCAACGTTGCCAAATATTTTGACTCCATATATTAATGTAGGTTACTTGAGAATTTTTTGTGATTTTAAAATATTAATTTCTCAATAAATATCTCGGTAACTGATATATTTTATTACAAAAAAAGAAACCTGAATATTTCGAAAAATCTAATTTTTAGTTTTTTTTTACTCCATCTAATCCATGACTGATAGTATAATCCGAGAAATACTGCAAACGTCTGACTTCCTCGTAAGACTCTGAACAAATACTAACATTTAAAAATTTTATTTTTTCAAAAATTTGTCCAGTAAAGTATAATTTAAACCTCACTATTAAATAAATAAGGACCTTAACTATTAGAAAAAAATAGAATTTACTCATAATCTAATATTTTTTATTTTACATTGGCGGCGAAAGGACCTCCTTAAGAGAATAAAAAAAATTTTATGTTCAGGATTGTTATATGATATAATTGTTTTTTTTTTTTAGTGAAATTTAGTGTCATTGTAAAGGTCTTGACTTAAATTTGTGCCTATTTCAAGGTTTCATATCATTTTCACCGATAATCAATTTATTATAATAAGTATTTAGGCTGCATTTGAAAATCCTTAATCTCTAGATACATAATTAAGAAATGACCTTGGATCTTGTGAAATAATGACATTTTCAAAGATATAAGCTCACTCTCACATTTACACTCATCGAGAGCTTTCATTTGAGTACCCACATCAATTTTTTATATATTTGATATATTTATATATATGAATATATGAAAAATATATCAAAATGCATGTGGGTACTCAAATGAAAGCTCTTGATGAGTGTAACATCGTGATGAACTTATATATTTAAAAATATCATAAGTTGACAAAATACAATATAATTTCTTAATTATTGACATTTTTAAAGATATAAGCCCACCCTCACATTACACTCATTGAGACCTTTCATTTGAGTACCCACATTAATTTTTCATATATTTTATATATTTATGTATATTACATATATGTATATATGAAAAATATATGAAAATGCATGTGGGTACTCAAATGAAAGCTTTTAATGAGCGTTACATCAGAATGAGCTTATATCTTTAAAAATGTCAATAGCTAAGAAAGTACAGTGCAATTTAAAATAATTAAGAAATGACCCTGTATCTTGTGAACTATTGAAATTTTTAAAGATATAAGCTCACCCCGACATTACACTCATCGAGATCTTTCATTTGAGTACTCACATCAATTTTTCAAAATATTTATATATATATATATATATATATCATATATATGTATATATGAAAAATATATCAAAAATTCATGTGGGTACTCATTTGAGTAAATGAAAGCTATTGATAAGTGCAACATCAGAATGAGCTTATATCTTTAAAAACGTCAATATTTAAGAAAGTACAGTGTAATTTAACAAAGGTCATTAAGGTTATTTAATAAAGCAAAATTTTATTACCTTATCTTTAACCGCAGTAGCTACAACATTCCTCTTAGGTTCCTCATCATAAGCCTGACTCTCACACCCAAAATGTTCACAATACTCATGAACAAACTGTCTCTTACACCTATTCATACTATCAAAAGAATAGCTCCTCGATTTCTGCTTAGAAATTTTAGCAAGCTGTACCAACTCCGTCAACTTATCATGAACCATCTTACATAAAGGCGGATCCTTCTTAGCGCATTGCTTCATATATTCACTGTAGCGTGGCATGAGCTTGCCTCTGAGATCAGGATTAACAATCTGTAACCCAAGAGCAAGTTTCCTGTTCCTCTCAATAGTCCTGCACTCCTCATTACACTCAAGAGTCCTCAGTTGATTCTGCTTCCTCGCGCCCTGACCAAAAACTTCCTCCAAATCAACCGAGTGTCCCAGCTGCATGTCAATCATTTTACTAGCAAGAATCCCACTTGCAATTCTCTGATACTCCCTCGAATTCTCCGCACAAGCCCTAGTCATAGATCTATTCCCACAAGTACAAGTTACCTTGACCATCTCTTTACAAGGAGTATCAGGACACTTGCCATCATGACACGGAGCAGCGCAATTGTGGCCACAAATTTCCCTAGGAACCGTACAAGGCTGGACACAAACTTGCTTGGGCTTCTCACAAGCCCCAGGATGACACAGGGTGATGCACTTGTGCCTGCCACACCTCACCGGCTTATTACAAGGCATTCCACAAGATATCCCATTGAAGTAACAAGGTACAGCTTTCCTTAATTCATGCTTTCCGTAGCACCACTTTTGAGTCAGCACCGTGCAAGGAGGACAAGAAGCTTCGCTGTGACAATTATGAAGTACCTGATGACCACAAGAGTGCTGGCGTGAGCACGGCTGAGAACACGTGGGTCTTCTAGTACCACAAGGGACAGGTGGAAAAATTACAGCAGCTCCACACTCGCAGTACAATTCATCAAAGCTACTCAGGTAGCAAGGATGACACCTGCCTTTGTGACAAGTCAACTCGCACTTGTGCTTACCACAGCTCAGAGTTTTTGAACACGGCAGTGGACAAATGTGCTCAATCTCAATGCAGCAAAGTTGATTGCATTTATGCTTCCCGCAGGAGCGTTTTTTAGGGCATTTTTTTTCACACCTTGCATCATCGGCTTTTGTCGTCAAATCGCAGCAAGGAATCTCCCGGTCCATATTACCACACCGACATTTGACCCAGGTTGTTAAATCACACGGAGGACAATCTCCAACATGACAAAGCGCCTTGCAGGAATGAGGAGAGCTTGGCTGCCCGCATTTTAATTTTTTCGAGCAAATTTTATCACAAGTAGGAATTGGATCCAGACAATTTGCGCGTTTTATTGTCAGCGGAGTTTGCCCGCAACAGCAGTGAGTTACTAGCTCAGTATTAAGCGAACAAGAGCCACATGGTCCAGGATGACAAATATCACTGCAATTATGATTACCGCAGTCCAATAAATTATTGCAAGCTTCTCCACAAGAATAAAAAGGCTCTGTGTTTTTTAAACATTCAACAAATCGGCTTTTCTTCCCGCAGTGACAATTCTGCTCTACTTTCTCATCACAAGCCTCGCAATTACCATGATGACAAGTCTTCTCGCACTTGTGCTTCTCGCAGTTCAGCAACTTATCACAAGTGGCTGAACAGGACAATTGAGAGTCTGTGCTACATTTGCAACTTTGTGATGTCTTCCCACAACCGCAGGAGCGGTTCACCATCACCAGGCACAAAGGACACGACCCTGGATGACAAAGTAGCGTACATTTGTGAAGACAGTTGTTCTTAGCTTGAGTACGGCCACAAACTTCGCCGCAGGAATGAGCAACGTCTTGCCTGTTCCACTCAGGATCTCTAGACTTGCCACAAAAGCAGTAATAGTCTTCAGGAATCACCAAGTTTATATTCTGACAAGCCGGACATCGCCAACCGCTCTCACTCTGAGATGACTCTGCCCATTTCTTCAGACACTTCAAGTGCAAAACGTGGTAGCAGTTACTGCAAGACCAGACTGCGTCATTCTGTCTGATATTTTCACAGCAGACCAGACACTCAAGGTGTCCTCTGTTTAGCTGCTCAGTAAGACATTCCTTCTGCGTCGCAGCGTCATCTAACTCCATTTTTTTCTTGCTGATATTCTTCTTAATTGGACTATTCTTCAGCCGCCAATTATTTAATTTATCTTCTTGAACAAAATCATCCTTACCAACATTTTCTTCCCTAAACTGCCTAACTTCCGATTTATTATCACGGTGATTTTTTTCTCTGTAACCTTTTTCTTCATAATAATCAGAATAATCTCCCTTGCGTCTGCTAGAGTTTCTATATCTCTCCTCTCGTGGATCATTATAAAAATCTTTATTATTTTTACCCCGTCGCTTGTCTTTTTTCAACATCTGTCTATCATCCGAGCTATCACCAGCAAATCCACGGTATCTTTCATCACGAGGATCTCTGCTCAGAGTTTGCTTTCCTTTTGGATGTCTTTCACTCTGAGAAACATCACCAGAATCTTTGCTATTATCATTATAATTATAACTATTTTGATTTAAATTTCTAGGCCTGTTTTCTAAATTATTACTAGTACTTTGATAATCATTAGAATTTAAATTAGACTGACGATTTGCTGAAGAATATCGATCATTATTATTATTATTATATCTTCCGTGGCTTCTTGGTCTTCTGTTATTATTATTATTGTACTTGTCCTTGCTATTACTTGATTTATTATCAAAGCTGACGTCAAAATAATCTTTATGAGGTTCATAATCATTACTATAATTATAAAATGGATTATTGTTGCTATTATTTGTATTACTATTAGTAAAGTTATTCTTCCTAGATTTGTCATAAGCTTTAAAAGAATTTCTCTGATAATAATCTCCGTCTTGACGGTAGTTAGCATTATTTTTTTTGTCGTACTTACGGCTGTAATTTTTGTTTCTGTTGTCGGAAAAAAATGCCTTTGATAACTCAGTCGGGTGATTATTAATGCCAGATGGAATAAACTCACTAGCTCCTGGGTGTAAGTTAGATTTTTTAACCAAGGAATTAGAATCGGTTTTACTTGATGATGCTTGGAACTGTCGATTATTTTCAAAGTAACAAGTTGAACTCCCAGAAGTATTTAATTCTGTAGATGACGAGGGATAAGTTGCACTTGGTTGATTATTGTCAACGTAATTAGCAGCTGGAGCTGATTGATTGTTGTCCTGGTTCCAAGAACGGTCATCTGTCACTCGGTTTTGTGAGTTTGAATAGTCGTACGATTTACGGTCGTCCTGAGCATCGCCTGGGTAGGAGCCGTCCCAGGTGGCCATTGTGGCCCCTGATAAGTCTTTTTCTAGATTACTACCACCAGATTTTTGTCACGGAGTTAGATAACTGTTAAATAAAAAACACAGCTGTTAGTTTGGGTGTTGAATAATTATCTAGTTATATAAATATGATTTGATAAATATAAATATATGGTTTAATTAATATTATAACCTAAAAATTATTTTTTTTATTTTATTTTTGCTAATTTTTTTTTTCTTTTGAGTTTTTTTGTCAAGTTTTATGGAGAATTGAAAGATTTTATTAATAATTTTTAATATTATTTTATTATTTATAATACTTTACCTGTTAAAATGGTTAATGAAGATAAAAATACTAATGAAACTAAAAATCAAGTGATTTGGATAGGAGTATATACTCTGGTAGAAACTCTCCGTATCATTTTTTTCTTGTCGCAAGCAAAACATTATCGATATTGTCATGTTCTGCAGTATCTTAAATTTTGTAATTTATATTTAAAATATTTATTTTTGTTAAATGATACTGAATTTAATAAACATCTAACAATTTTTTAGATTGCTATAACAATTTAGTTGTAAAGAAAAAAATATGACATTAAAGTCAGCTGTCACTTGATAATTTTTTTATTTTTTGTAATAAATAAATTTGCTTCGAAAAGTTATTTTTAAAAAATTGTATTTATAATTTTTACGTCAATTTTTTGTTCTCATTTTTTTTTTTTTATCATAATTTATTTGTTAAAAAAATTCGAAAAATTATTAAATATCTGCTAAATTAATTTTCATCAAAATTTTACGTGTAGAAATTTAAAAAAATTATAAGAGTGTGAATTTATTAAAATATTCTTTTTATAATAATTGATTTGTTATAAAAATTCAAATAATTGTCAGATGTCTGCTAATTTACGAAAATTAAATTAGCCGACATTTAGAAATTTTTAGAATTTTTTTATTGAAAAAATTATCATAAAAAATTTCACATGGAGAAAATTTTAAAAATTATCTTTTTACTGCAAGCAAATTGAATTGTTAAAAAAAATATAAAAATTTTTTAGCGTTGGCTAATTTTAATGTCATTTTATTAATCATTTATTAAAATTTAAATTCAGGATTTAACTTAACTTAATAATTAAATTAAAAATCAAAACATAATTAATCATAATAATTTACAAAATTTTATTGAAAATTTTTGAATAATTAATATTCACAATAGAGCGATAATTATAAAAAAATATCGCAATTAATCAGTGATAACGTAAATACATTTTTAATAAAAATAACGTATCTTCGATGAATAACTCTGCGGTTCCTAATGTTTTAGTGGTAGTTTTAACTTTGTCCACCTGAATTTTTTCAGCAGGTGTCAATAGAAGTCTGACCTATAATACAAAAACAAAGATAGAATTTATTATAAAAATTTTCAACTATTTAAATTAATAATAGAATAAGCTTTGAGAGTCAATAAATAAAAATTAACCTGATCTATTTGTGCTGGGTCAGCATTCATTGCCTCTAAATTACTTAAAACTGTTTCTAGACGTAAATGTTTGTCCATAAGAGAGTCATTGGTAGTCGTAACATGATTCCGCCTGAGGATTGTATTGTACAATGCATGATAGCAATGTTCAACAACCATGCGTACCACATGGTTAAAATTAATGTGTAATAAAAATATCCCTTTCATTGGAGCAGTCGGAGCGGTTGACTTCTTTACTTCTTGAACTTGTAAATAGTTTTTGTCTAACAATATATACATCAGTTCTTTAATTTCTCTTTCAGGCATCATTGCAATCTGTTTAATTTTATCTTCTTCTATAAATTTTTCATGCCGAACCAACCTAAGGATAATTATTTATTGTTTTGTGTCTCATAACTTACAATTTAAATTAAGCTTGTAAATAATATTTTAATTAATAAATAATTGAATTAAAACCTGAATATCCTAGCAGCTTTGGAGCCAAATCGTTCCAAGACAACATTTTCTACAGTGGCCCAAGCAAGTTGAGACATTATTTCTTTCACATCAATACTGAATTGTCCACCACCTGAATCACCAACACGTTTTACAAATCTCCTTGAATCTTCAACTGTAATTATTTTGTAATTAGTATTTATCTTACTTAAAAAAATTAAAGAAAAAATTACCAATTATTTGTAAATATTGATCGAGGTATTGAGTAAGTTTAGGAATATTTAATTTTCTGATATCTTCTCTGATTTCGTGAAAAGGAATTGGATTTGATGTTGGCGCCCAAGATGCTGTCCGCGTGTACATTAAAAAAATCAGACGACGCATCAACTCAGCAGCATCATTATCATAAATCCTTCCGACTGTTTCTACAATTATTTCATCTCTGTCAACAAATGATGTTTTAAATTACATTTTAATTTTTTTTTAATCTTTATCTTATTAAAAAAAATTAATTTACCTTAAATCTTGAATCAATCTATCAAAATTAACTTTCCAGTAGATATTGTCATCACTAAAACCAGTTTTACCCTCAGAATTGATTGCCTTATCTACAATTTTTTGAATTTCCTCTAAATTTAATTTTGGAACATCAAAATCCGTGTTCCCGATTGACGAAGTCTTGTCATTTTTATTATTTTCTGGGGTATTCCGTATCAAAAATTGATTTTTTACCATTGTTTGAAATTGCTCATACAATAACTCGACAGAAGGTATTTTGTTAACTGAAATAAATATTTTTAACATAAAAAAAAATATTTAACTACTTTTTTAAGTAGTGTTATGATCAACGTTTATTTACCTTTTGATATTTTTTCATACGCTCTGATTATAACTTGAGACGCGGTTTCATATCCATTTTTTAACACTTCTTCAAACATTATTTCGCTTTCATCTCCGCTGCATTTTTTTATAAACAACATGAATCTGTAAAAATATAAATATTAATAAAAATAATCAATGATTTTCATGACACTGATATTGAGAAGCATTTGATAATTTTCAATATTTTTTTTTAACAAATAAATTATAAGAAAAATTTCTAATTTAAAAGTTGTAAAGAATTATAAATGCAATTTTTTTTTTTTCAATAATTTACAAAACTTAGTTTATTTGATGAAAATTAAGTTAGCCGACATCTAAAAATTTTTTTCATTAAAAAAATTATTACAAAAAATAAAAATTTTCATTTGTAAAAAACTTGAAAAACTACAAATGCAAATTTTTAAAAAACATTTTGTCGTTCCAATTTAATAAATGAAAAAAAAATTATAAACTTTGGCTAACTTTAGTAGTATGTTTATTTGTCGAATAAAATTAAAAAATGATCAAGTGTCTGCTAATTTCAGTGTCATTTATTTTCATCAAACTTCTGTCACTTACCTTGAATACCGTAAAATATTTAATACTTTATCATAATCAAGTACATATCGAATAGGCTCCTTTTCTTCTTGTTCATATGAAACTAATCCAAATCTAATCAAAACACACAGTGACTCTCTAACCTGTTGACAAAAAAAATCATATGATATATCATTAGTCATTTTTAAACAATTAAAATCACAACAATAATTCAAATAAAATAATGTATACCTTGTTTGGTGGAAGACGAAGTTTGCTTATAATAAAAGGTACTGTTTGTTTATTGTTTTTAAATAAACAATCTCCTACACTTTCAACCGTTTCTCCAAAGTGTTGTAACAAGATAGCTGAACACAATTTTCCACACATGTAACTCATTGTAAATATATATATATTATTATCTGAATTTGTATAAATTAATTACATGTGTGGATTTTATTATTAAATAATTATTTATTTAATTTTTCCATACGTAATGTCAACTTAACCATGTAAGTTTATGCCGACCATGCTGCATGCTTATTATTCCACATGTAGTAGTAGTAGTAGTAGTAGTAGTAGTAGTAGTAGTATATTCTTTATGCTCTGGGTATTTTTTTCCATTCGGCCGTTGGTAGATTGTGTGGTGGGGGTAGCTGTGTTGGTTAGGAACTTGCCTTAACCTAGGCGGCGCTGGAGCGAACCTCAGAGAATCGAAAGATATTAACAAATGTGAAAAATCTTTGGACTCGCTGGGGATCGAACCCGCGCCTCGCCACATGAATTGTACGAACGGACCAACGCATTGAACCGCTCGGCCAACATCGAGGCATACATCAATGTATATATAGACTAGCTGTTACCCGCCCGCTTCGCTGGGCGCTTTAAAAAATTGCATTTTTAGATCTAGACTTGAAATTTAATTATTGTTTTGATTTGCTTAGATTTTAATTGAGTATTAAAAGTTTAGTTAAAGTCATTGCAAGTCTCAAAAGTAAAGCGTTGAAATAATCTGTATAGCTTCAATTGCGAAGAATTTTTTTGTTATTTCAAGTTTTCTCAGTGACATCAATATTTTATAGAAAATAAATTTAACATATTTTTTTTACGAATTCTATTTAAATAGGTAGCCAAATTTACTTTTCATATACCCAGTGTTTGGAAAATGCATTCATTTTAATCAAATACATTCCCGCGATCCCGCAATAAGAACAATTTATAAGTTATGTAATCAGCAAAAATAACATGTATATAAAATTCTTAATCCGTTGACCGAATTACTACATGTAATATTAAGTTTTGGAAACCTAACAATTACTTTTTTCCCGCTGCTAAAGGAGACGTTTGGTGTAAGAAAATTTTTAGTAAATGTTATTAAATCTCAATAGATATGGTCGAAGTTTCATGTTTCAAAAAGTTCTAGTTTATAAACAACAGCATTTTTCACTAGATTTCATAGATATCTAACTATTTTATTTCATAAAACCAATTAATTCTTAGATAATAATCATAACCAAACATACGATCAGCATATAAACAGAAATTTTCGACACTTAGTTCACCAAAAATAATTAGCTTCTTTTTCTTGAACTTTTTTTAAATGACGTTAAATCAATCAAATATCAAGGTTATGTAAAAAAAACAAAAGAAAATCGTATTAAAAACAAATGAATAAAAAATAAGAGTCTTTTGTTTTTCTTAGCGGGAAAAAATGCATGTGAAATTAAATCGTAAAGAAAATGAGAAATGGTTGATAAAATCCAAAAAATAAGTAGCCCATAACATCTACGGAAAATTCTGCGTCGAATGGTAGCGGCCCTATCCCGATAGCTTTAGTGGTTTTGACATCAACTTTAGTCAAAGAAACCCTATTTCGCTCATTTATTTTACACTCACGCATCCCGTTGGTAGATGGAACTAAATTCTCAAAAAAAAAAAAAAAAAAACGTGATACCCTTCATGCCTAAATGAAATAATAAGTGAAATTTTCCACCCACGCATCGGCCTATGCATCCACCCACCCATCCATCCACGCATCCGCCCACACGTTGGTATATACAAATGAATTGAAGAAAAATGCTCGTCTTTTGTTTTTATCGGCGGGAAAAAATGTTTATCAAAGTTAAATAGAAATAAAATGGTCAAGGATTGATGGAATTCAAAAAATAGCCTATAACCATCTACAATTCATTCCGCGTCGAATGGTCTCAGTCCCATGTCAATACGTTCAGTAGTTTTTGCGTGATTGACGGTCTACGAAACCCACTTTCAATATATATATATATATATACATATATATATACATATATATATACATATATATATATACCATTCTAGTAATATATGTCATTACTCTAGTGAAATTATCTAGGGATTTTTAATTTACTGTTTCATGTGAATTGTAAATTAGTTTGAAATTTTCCTCAATCATAAAATTTTCTTTTGACATTTTATATTCACTTTTGAATCTTAAAAATAACAAAAATTTATTAAAAAAAATATATATAAAAAGTGTAAATATAATAATATTAAAATAATAAAATCTAAAAATTTTTTTAATTAATAAATCATTGTGAAAAAAACTAAAATAAATTTTTACAAAAATAACATTTTTGTTATTTTTTTTTTTTTAATTTCTAAATGTGAAGTTTTTTTTTATGAAATTTTTTCATCATAATTTAGTTATCATAAAAATCCAAAAAATTGACAAATAGTTCAATCAATTTCAATATAATTAATTTTTTTAATTAAACCAAAAAATAATCAGATGTTTATTAAATTTAACTTTTTCAACAGTTCAATTGCAAGTGAAAAGATACTTAAAAAAAATTGCACACATCATTTTTTTAATCTTCTGCAAGTGAAATTTTTTTATAATGATTTTCTCAATAAAAAATTTCTAAAAATTTCAAGATGTCGGCTAAAAAATTGCACTTTTAGTCTTTTACAAATGAAATTTTTTTTTTTTATTTTTTTTAATAAAAAAAATTGTAAAAATTTTTAGATGTCGGCTAACTTAATTTTCATTAATTTTCGTATAAAAATTTTGTACCTGTTTCAGAGTTAACGCCAATTTTCATGTAACGACAAAACAGCAGCACATTCATATTTCTACCAGCATATTTAATTACACACATACATATCTGTGTGTCATATATTTGTAACCTTAGCTGGTAGGATCCAAGGATCCATGAGTCATGACCACAAGAGCGAGAGAGAGAAGAACAGAGGATTATGTATAAAAATCAACAGTAGTAAAGTTTAGAACTGTTGAGTGTGTAGTGTTGATGGTCTTGGTCTTGGTCTCTTTAACAATGTTTACCATTACCAGTCTTAAACTCCTTAGATTCAATTAAACATTGTGGATTGTGGGTGTAATGTATATTTATCATCGTTCACGCTTAGCTACACATTTAAATATCTACACACCCCAGTGGTGTCTGTAAATAAATAAACAACAAATTTTATTATCAACAAGTATAAATAAACATAGGTATATATATATATGTATGTAAATACAAACTTATATTTTATTACTGCTCTGCTGAATTTTATTATCTAATAAAGTTTTAAACAAATACACCTATGATTGATTTAATAAAACAATACTACATTAATACCAGCAAAAATTCGGCATGATTGCTGTCAGTTTAACTAAAAAATTAAACCGATCGAAGTATGACCTCCAAAAGTGTTGGCGTTCTTAATTCTTGTACTAAATAAATGTCACTTGATGATAAATAAGTTCTAAGACTATTTTATTATTACTGTTGTTATTGTTAGTGCTGTTCCCACGCATTGCTTATAATTTATTAATTCAAGATCAAAATTTTTATTCAGTAAGTATTTCATTCATTCATTCAGTTATTTATTGACGTTTATCATTAAAATTAATTTTTTATTTTTTCTTTATGTTTTAATTGCAAGTGAAAGTTTATGTTTATAAACCGTATTATTAATACGCACTCTCGTGCTAGTAATAAGCATCTGAATATGTAAGCATCTAGTTTGTATTGAAGAATATCATTTTATATTTTATTCACAACAAAAGACATTTAAAAAAAATTTTTTTACATGAAAAATATTTATTTACAATTTTTTTTTAAAATTAATAATTATCTAAAATTTATTTTAATAATTTTTTAAATACTAAAAATTTTTAAATGATATTTTTGAACACAGATAGGTAATACGAAAAACCTGTTGGAATTAAATGCTTCAAATAATTATTATTTCATACATATATGCTAATATTAACACACATATGCGTTAATGTGGTCGCATAATATATTTTTTTTAATTTTTTTAATTCTCACCTTGAACGCAACGGCTACTGAGAGCAGAGCATACAACTATTTTTGTAAAACGCAATTGCTCTATATGTATATTGATATTATTAGAAGTTGTAAATAACTATACACACAATTATTATTGCCAGTGTATGTTATTCTATTTTATATTGCTGTAAATATAATTATTTTTTGCAAAACATCAGACAGTATACTAAAAAATTTATTAACTTAAAAATTTTCGAGTAATTTTTCGAGTGTCGGTTGTGAGAGCTGTAGCGACAATATGATAATAGCAATTATTCTGTATTTTGTATTCCGTGTATTGCTATATGAATAATTCATGACATTAAAGTTAGCAGTCACTTGAAAATTTTTTTATTTTTTTTAACATACAAATTTATTTAAAAAAATTATTTAAAAAAAATTGCATTTTTTATTTTTTTAAATTTCTACATGTCAATTTTTTTTGCCATAATTTATGAAAATTAATTTAGTAGATATTTTATAATTTTTTTAACAATTAAATTATCCCAAAGAAAATAAGAAAAAAAAAATTGACATTTAGAAAATTAAATAAATGAAAAATACAATTTTTTAGAAAGAATATTTCGGAGCAAATTTATTCATTAAATAAAACTGAAAAATTATCAAGTGACTCCTAACTTTAATTTCATCCATAATTTATTTATTACAAAAATTTTTAAAATTATTAAATATCTGCTAAATAAATTTTCATGAATAATTCATAAATAAAATTTAAAATTTTATTTATTTTTCGCTCTTTAGTACATAACCGGTTAAAAAAGCAAGGCCGTCAGTATGACCGTGTGTGTAACTAAATAATATTTATATTATAGTTTGTGATGTATTGTAAATTTAAATTCTTATAATTACTAGCACGTGAGTTTTTGTTTTATCCATTGTTCTTAAATGTATTTATAAACTTGAACAATCGCTTCAATGAGACTAGACGCTCTCGAGTAATTAACATTTTTTATAGACGTATTTTGTCAATATTATATTAAAAAAAAGAGAGTCTATTTTTCAATATTTTAAAATCAATAATTATTTTAATTTTTATTGTCATTTTAAGACGTATGTACAAAAATTAATTTTTTATCTTCAATGATTCATACGAAAAATATTATTTATACGCTAATAAAAATGTTTGAATTTCATTACAATGAAATTAATTTATTGAAAACTATTCAAAACATATTTATTCAAATGATTAGTATTCATGAAGATTAGGAATTTTATTCTTGAAATTGATTTGTATTGAATTTTACACGTGTTAGCTTGTGATAAAAAATTATTTATTTATTGTTAGACATTACCAATATATTTAAAAATAATATCCAAATTTTACTACTTATTTATTATTAATCTCTTCTGTTAATTATTTAAATTGCCAATAATAGAACCCGGGTCGTCAATTAACTTACTCTTTGCATACAGTTGCACAATAAATTAAATAATAAAACTAATAATGATTAAGCTCAATACGACGATACCTAATCAGCCAGATGAAACATTTTTTATTTTTATGTTATTACATAATAACAACAACATATTCAAATTATTCTTATTGTTTCAGAACTGATGCTGTGTAATCAAGCTGAACTATAATATTCAATAGCCGTAAGTATTAATCATTTTTAACTTATTATTATTTTTTAATAATTCTTATTCAGAGAATAAGGAAAAAAAAAATTAAAACCACATCTAAATGATAAATGTATGTGGTTTAATTTGATATCACCAAAGATATCTAAACTTGAGTTTGTGCTTTTTAATATAAGATTTTCATTTTTTTTTTTTTTATTTTTTTTTTTTTTTTTTTTTTTATAGAAAATTCTATATTTAATTTTTATCAATACTTATAAATACTTCTGATTAAATTATTGAAAATACTAAAAAAGAAAATTTATTTTTACAGAAAATCCATAGGATTGTTATGAGTAGTACTTTATCGATGTACGATGGATTGGAACCAGATGTACCGACAAATAATTCAACCACCCTTAGCACCGGAGGTACTGATGGAGTCGGTGGAGCAGGAGGTGGGACGACTAAAAAATTGGCGAGAGGAATTTCACGAGCTACTGAAAATGCAGCAATAGTATCACACGCACGATCGCAGCTGACATTTCTGGGGATTGTTGACACGCCTGAATTTACATTTTCATTACCTGATCTATCAATCTACCCTGGTAATTATGATTATAACTAGCAACCTTGCAGTCACTATGTGACTACCGCAATTTTTTAACTATAATTAGATAAAATTTTAGTTTATTAAATAATGACTTTTGTTAAATTGCACTGTACTTTCTTAAATATTGACGTTTTTAAAAGTATAAGCTCATCCCGATGTTATACTGTTCAAGAGCTTTCATTTGAGTACCCACATGCACTTTTGATATATTTTTCATATATACATATATATATATATATATATATATATATAAATATATGAAAAATTGATGTGGGTAATCAAATGAAAGGTCTCGATGAGTTTAATGTCAGGATGAGCTTATATCTTTAAAAATGTCAATAGTTCACAAGATACAAGGTTATTTCTTAATTATTGACATTTTTAAAGACATAAACTCATCCCGATGTTACACTCATTAAGAGCTTTCATTTGAGTACCCACATCAATTTTTCTTATATTTCATATATTTATATATAAATATATGTATATATGAAAAATATATCAAAATGCATGTGGGCATCCAAATGAAAGGTCTCGATGATTGTAATGTCAGAATAAGCTTATATCTTTAAAAATGTCAATAGTTTACAAGATATAATTTCTTAATTATTTTCGAATGTAGTCTTAATACTTATCATAATAAATTAACTATTGGTGAAAATGATATGAAATCTTAGAAAGGCACAAATTCAAGTCAAAACCTTTGCAATGACGCTAAATTTCACTAAAAAAACCGATTTTATCATATGACTATCCTGTAAACAAAATTTTTCTTATTCTTTTAATAATAAAGATTCGTCAGATTCTCAGATACGCAAAAAATAATAATGTAAATAGATTAATTAATGATTGTTGTCTGTTAGATTCATTTCGACAATTTTTGGAGAGAGATTTGATCGAGGGAGGCTGCTTGACGTCTCTAGAGGCAGCAGGAAGATTAAATTGGTGGTGCGGTGGCAAGAACAGCAGTAGCGTTAGGGTTCTCTGGCCATTAGCAACCACTGGAGATGGAAATTGCTTACTCCATGCTGCGTCGTTAGGAATGTGGGGCTTCCATGATCGTCTGTTGACTCTAAGGGATGCTTTACACAATACTCTGTCTAAAGGCGAATACAAGGACGCATTGTTCAGACGATGGAAATGGAGGCAGATGGGGTTGAATGCCGCCGCGGGGTTGGCGTATACGGAAACCGAGTGGTTAACTGAATGGCAAAGCATTGTGGAAATGGCATCTGCGAATCCACGATCGCAGACCGCAACTTCTTATCAGAGTCTTGAGGAGGTATGTGTGTATTGTCAACAATGTCTTTGGTATTTATTCCAAGCAATCTCTGATAATACTGAATATTGTCATTGGACTTTTATCATTATCATCATTATTATTGTTGTTGATTATTAGGTTCATGTCCTTGCACTGGCGCATGTTTTGCGCAGACCAATAATCGTAATTGCGGAAACTATGCTCCGTGATTGTGAAGGGGTGGCCTTGGCACCAATTCCTTTTGGTGGAGTATATCTTCCACTTCAAGTTTCCCCAGCAAAGTGTCACCGGACGCCCCTGCTTTTAGCTTACCACTCAGCTCATTTCTCTCCTTTGGTAACTGTCGACTGTGGTAATGAGTTTGCTGCAAGTGCAAACGGAATTGGTGATACCACGGGCGTTAGTATACCTCTTGTCGATCCTGATACTGGGCAATTACTTCCTGTCTTATTCGCCGTTGACCCTGGCCCAGACTGGGATTGGACCGCTTCTCAAGATCTCCTTCTTTGTCATCAAGATACTGTTAGTTTTTTTATTTTTATTTTTATTATTTCGCGTTACTAATCCTAAAAGGGGATATCTCAAAATATATGTCCTTTTGACTTTGCAGAATTAAAAGGGCGTATAAATTTTTTTTTCTTCAATCAACTTGGAAGTACGCCTGCCCAATTTTAAAACATAGTAACTGCAAAATCTTTATACCTGATTTTTTTTCAGTATTTCTGCAGTTCTTATAACTTTTAGACCTTAATTTCAAGTAATTTTTCTTAAAAATATTTATATTCATAAATTAAATTTTTTATTAATTTGGCGCGAAAACTTTTTTTTAATAAGAAAAATTTTTTAAAATCTTAAAATTGTTAGTTACTGTGTTTTGAAATTGAGCAGCTGCATTTATATACTGTATATAATAGTAAAAATTTGGTTATAAAATATACCCTTTTGGTATTAAGAAAAAAAATTTCTAAAGCCGAAAGGACGTACATGCATAAATAAATGATAAAAATAGCTTCTAAGAATCTTAAAACGTCGAGATCTAAAAAATAAAAATTGATTTTTGGAAATTGAACTGAAAACACTACTACAGCCGAATTTTTTTAAGAACAGCGGTTGATAGTTAATTTTCAAACGTGTTTTGTTCACGTTTAAAATAAAATTTCGAAAAAAACGCTTCGCTCTTCGATAGATTATTAAATTATCTATCGGAGCGAAGCGCTTTTTTAAAAATTTGCTTTTATTTATGCATAAAATGCGTTTTAAGATTCCATTTGTTGTACAAGTATAATAGAGATACTTTTGCTTGTCCAGTAGAGGGCAAGAGAGAAAAAAAAATGTAAATCCTTCTTAAGGATTTAATTTTATTAAAAATTTTTTCTATGAATTTCTACAAAATATGAAAAATTAAAAATTTCAAGAACTTAAAAATTTTATTTATGAATTTCTACAAAATACAAAAAATATCAATTTTCAAAATAGTGGGTTTTGATAATGTTATCATTACAAAAAATCAATTTTATATATTTCGACGCTTTGAGGTCTTTAAAAGCTATTTAGATCATTTTTTCATGTACATGCTTTTGGCTTTTAAATTTTTTTTGGGCGTATGATTTTCTACTTTTATAAATTCCCTTTTTGATTAGAGAAAAAAAAAATTTACCTTTTTGGTTCTGTAAAGCCAAAAATTACGAGCTACAACTTTTTGGTATTAGTAACGCGATTTATTTGTTAGACAATTGACAGACAAATGATTAATAAATTGACATTATTTGAAATTCCAGATGGAGATTCTTATCAGAGATTACTTAGACTGTGAATATCAAACACTAACAACAGAAGATCTGGACAGACTTTCAGACACTGATGGATCGCTGACTGGTAAAAGCAAAGCTGCTAAACAGCTACTGGGTGTCGCTAAGCAGTTTGGGTCAATCGGGAAGTCAATGAGTAAAAAACTCTGGTCTTCAATGGCCAAGAGACCCAAGAGTCCTCCGACTTCGGCGTTGGCTGGACTGACTACCGAAGGTGTTCTGTGTGTTAAACTTAAAAGCCACCGGCATCAGTATGTTGATCAGATGCTACAAAATTATCTCCAGTGCGCTCACTCAAGGTGATTATTTTTTTGTTTTGTAAGTAATTTTGTAATGTATGGTTAAAATGAAAGTGATATTAAAATTCAAGGGTAAATATTAAGTAACGAGCCGCGTCTAAAATATTGATATAAGTATTAGGGTTGTATCACTTCACTTACATTACCTTCATGAGCCTCAAGAGACTGCGTAATAAGATAATTTTAGCTTAATTAATTTAAAAATTTTATTTTAGATACTTGGAGATGCAGAAAGACGCCTCAGGGACTGAAATAAATTATGGGGCTGGCAAATCAAAATTTTATACTGTCAGTGACAGTAACAGCCATGCTAGTGTCAGTAAGCTACAACCAAAAAATACGAATAAAGATCGTACTCTATATTTATCAAGGTAAGTTATCGGATTATTTGTAAACTCGCAACCTTGCGGTCACTATGTGATTGCCGTAACTTGTAAAATAAAAAAATTAAAATTTTGCTTTATTAAATAATTGCTCTTGTTAAATTGCACTGTACTTTCTTAAATATTTACATTTTTAATGATATAAGCTCATCCCGATGATACACTCATCAAGAGCTTTCATTTGAGTACCCACATGCATTTCGATATATTTTTCATATATACATATATATAAATATATGAAAAATTGATGTGGGTATTCAAATGAAAGGTCTCGATGAATGTAATGTCAGGATGAGCTTATATCTTTAAAAATGTCAATAATTTACAAGATATCTGTTGAATTTCACTGTACATTCTTAACTGTTGCTGTTTTTAAAAATATAAGCTCATCCCGATGTTACACTTATCAAGAGCTTTCATTTGAGTACCCACATGCATTTTGATATATTTTTCATATATTCATATATATAAATATATAAAATATATGAAAAATTGATGTGGGTGCTCAAATGAAAGGTCTCGATGAGTGTCATATCGGGATGAACTTATATCTTTAAAAATGTCAATTGTTGACAAGATTCAATATCATTTCTTTATGATTGACATTTTTTAAGATATAAACTCATTTTTATGTTACACTCATTGAGACCTTTCATTTGAGTACCCACTTGGCATTTTTTTACATATTTCATATATATAGTTTTTGTAGAAATATATAAATATATAAAATATATGAAAAATTGATGTGGGTACTTAAATGAAAAGGTCTTGATGAGTGTAACATCGGGATCAGCCTATATCTTTAAAAATGTCAATATTTCACAAGATACAAGGTCATTTCTTAATGATGTGTCTAGCGATAGAGCATTTTTTAATGACACTAAATATCACTAAAAAATCCAATTTTATTATATGACTATCCTCGATACAAAATTTTTCTTATTCTCATAATAATATAGATGATTAATTTTTTTCAATTAATTTATTTTTTATTTTTAAAGGTCAACATTTTACAACAACATAACAGCGCCAGAACCGAGAGAATACAATGAATTCAAAAGGAACAGCGGTTCTGTCAGAGAATGTCTCACTGAAGATTGTCCATTTTTCGGATCGCCTGAAAATGACTATTACTGTTCAAAATGCTGGGCGAACAATAGCCAACGATGATCGGCCTTTTTGGTTTAGATTTATCAAATTAACTCATTATCCTCTACTCCTCATGACAATAACCAAAGCATCTCATTATTGTATTCATATCGCTTGTATACTTTACTGACATTAACAGTGAAAACTTCTATAAGAACAAAATGTCTAATCGTGAAATTATCAGATAAATTAATTAGATAAATAGCTTGTAAATGAAATAATTTTAGCTGTCATGTCATTATGATAAGATTAATACTAGCAACGAATATAGTTGTGCTTTGCGTTGAGCTTAAGTTTATGTTAAGTCTCATTAACAGTTATATATGAACAAACGAAATGAATATATATGTATTTACTTATGGCACGCAGTAGACTAATGAGCTCAACGCATGCATCATCTACGGACATAACCCACTGATATATATAAAATATATACATTAAATAACTCCTCAGAGATGATATTATATATTTTTGATTCTTCATGTATTTACTACTGTTAAATTAATTATTTGAATTTCAATGAAAAAATTTAAAAAAAATTTAATAAATACATATATGTATGGGATGAGATAACACACATTGATATGTGCCTTGCCTCGTGTAACTGTTCAAATAGTTATAGTAATACTCATTACATCACATTTAAATATTATCAAGCGTCCATTCTGATAATTATTATTATATTACTATCGATATTAATTATTATCAATAATTATTTATTTATACCACAAATCTTCCTTTACTTAATGTCAATTAATTTTATTAATTTTACTATCACTTATTATTATAAAAAAAAAGTACTTTATCAAAATTCATGTTATTCACTCATAAATTTAAATTATTACTATTATAAATTATAAATATGTTTATTTTTAAATTTTTAATTAAACTCATCGACTAAAAAGTGTTCAATCTCATGTCTTGATTATAAGCCGAGTGGCAAAAAAGTGTATCTGAAATTATATAATTGTGAAAACAATAAAACAAAAATATTTTTTTAAATAATTTATTGAAATTAATAGACATCATTTTTTAAAAGTTTCTGTAGAATTTATTTAAGTAAATATTTACAAGTGGGGTCAAAAATTTTAATTTAAATTTTTAATCGATTTTATTGATATATTTTTTTTTTTGAAAAACACAAAAAATGGACATTAAAAAAAAAAAAAAAAGTTGATTATCACAATTTTGACAAAATTTTCAAAAAAAATGATAAATTTTTTAGAAAATTATGAAATTTAATTTTTTTTTTAATTGTTCATTTTTTTTGTACTTTAAAAAAAAATAGATAAAATAGAAATATTAACCAAAAACTTGAGAGCTAAAATTTTTTCCAACTTTTGAAGGCAAAAAAGCTATTGAAATTTTTCTTTTTTTCTTTTATGACATTTTTTATCATCAATAAACAGAATAAAAAAAAAATTTGATAATGTCAATTTTTCACCTCTAATAGTTATGGCCCAAGTAAGGTTGACCCCACTTGTAAATAATTACCATAATTTAAATAAAAAATTCAAGCTTAGCTTGAAGCGAGTAAAAATAATTTGTTTGAAATAAACAAACTACAAGCATGTAATAGTGTCTTGTAGAAGGTATTTTATACATAAAAGAAGCGCCTTTAGATATTTAAGCATTGGTACGGTAGGAAAAGAGGAACATATCTAATAGCAGCAAGATCAGCAGAGCATTGGCATTGCACAACTTGACTCTGGGGTATAACAGTCGTAAAAACTAATGTTACACGTATGGGTTTGTTGGTGCACTGAAGAAAGCTGCCCCGAGAAGCATAAAGCGAAGAATAAAGAAAGAGAGTTCAGTTAAAATAGCTCTTTTTATCGATACTTGGGTTAAACTCAGTTAAACTCGGACCGTCTGTGATTCAATTATTCATATAGTTTTGTCCAAGCCCGACGGTGGATTATACTATCTTTTAGTTTATACCTTCCACTTTCTCATTCTGTCTCGCAGTTATTCTTATTGTTGTCATTATTTAGTTGGGTATTTTTTTGCCTGTCTTAAGCGCAATTTTTGCTTTTATTTTTCAGTAGTCTGTACAAGGTATAGATGGGAATCCTGGATCCTAGCGCATCTTCCTGAGACCACGTCTCGAGAGACACTGCGAATATATAGTAGTAATTCTGTGCCATCCAATTTTGTGGTCGTACACAAGAAATTGGAAGGGAAATAACAACGCGATTCCCGAGACAATCCCACCCTACAGTGTCTTTACTTGTTCTTCCAACTCTACTATCTTTATATTTATAATTGTAACTTATAAAGAATATTTATTTTTTAATCAAACTTTAGATTATTGTTTTCCGATTTTAGAAACAATTAAAGTTACTTCAATGGTTCCAAGTATTTTTTTTAATTGATTAATATTATAATTGATAAACATCCACTAAAAACATTAGGAATACGGTTGACTCTTAAGGCCATCCGTGCAACTTCCCGCTAACTCCATTTATCTCTAGATGCATAATTAAGAAATGATTTTGTATTCTGTGAACTATTGACATTTTTAAAGATATAAGCTCACCCCGACATTACATTCATCGAGACCTTTCATTTGAGTACTCACATCAATTTTTCATATATTTTATATATTTCTATATATTACATATATGTATGTATGAAAAATATATCAAAAATGCATGTGGATATTCAAATGAAAGCTCTTGATGAGTGTAACATCAGTATGAGCTTATATCTTTAAAAATGTCAATAGATAAGAAAGTACAGTGCACTTTAACAGATATCTTGTGAATTATTGACCTTTTTAAAGATATAAGCTCATCCCGACATTACACTCATCGAGACCTTTCATTTGCGTAGCCACATCAATTTTTCATATATTTTATATGTTTATATATTTCACAAATACCATATATATAAAATATGTAAAAAATGCCATGTGGGTACTTGAATGAAAGGTTTCGATGAGTGTAACATAAAAATCAGTTTATATCTTAAAAAATGTCAATAATAAAGAAATGACATTGAATCTTGTCAACTATTGACATTTTTAAAGATATAAGCTCACCCCGATATTACACTCATCGAGACCTTTCATTTGAGTACCCACATCAATTTTTCTTATATTTTATGTATTTATATATATGAATATATGAAAAAATATCAAAATGCATGTGGGTACTCAAATGAAAGCTCTTGATGAGTGTAACATCGGGATGAGCTTATATCTTTAAAAATGTCAATAGATAAGAAAGTACAGTGCAATTTAACAGATACTATGTAAATTATTGATATTTTTAAAGATATAAGCTCATCCTGACATTACACTCATCGAGATCTTTCATTTGAGTACCCACATCAATTTTTCATATATTTATATATATCATATATATGTATATATGAAAAATATATCAAAATGCATGTGGGTACTCAAATGAAAGCTCTTTATGAGTGTATCATCGGGATGAGCTTATATAATTGAAAACGTCAATATTTAAGAAAGTACAGCGTAATTTAACAACGGTCATTATTTATTAAAACAAAATTTTAATTTTTTATAGGTCACAAGTCACAGCAGTCACATAGTGACTGCAAAGTTGCTAATAAGTTATTAAAAAATATAATTGCAAAAATTATGTAAAAATTTGAAACTGATCGGTAGGGTAGTTTTTGAAAAATTTTACTTTTTAAAAAAAAGTTTAAAAAAAAAATGAGATTCAATTTTTTATGAATATTTTCTAAATTAAAAAAATGAATTTTTGAAAGAAATAGTACGTATATCACACTAATTAATGAATTCCAAATGAGGATTAAAATACCCTTCCTAGAAGAGTAATAACTCTCGACATTTAGCAGTTTGCAATACGAATGCAATATCAACATGATCCACTGCTTGAGAATTATTCCGGCAGATCGGCTACATACGGGTTGGTGGCCTCAGGGATGCCTCAGCTTATACCTAAAGCTTCATCTAGCTCTCTGGGGAAAACCATACTAGCATACCCTTCTCTTCTGTCGCTTTTCTCTTACCACCTAAAGCCCACATCCAACCACAAACGCATTCCTGAGCCTTGAGATACGAATAATATGTGCAATGTTATAATATAATATCATACTGCAATAACTTAACATTTACACGAATTTACCTCCTAATTATTTTTTATTAATTTTTTAAACCCACAAAATTTAATTGTTGACTTACCGCTAATTACATTTTTATTAATGTAATTATACATTTAGGAGTCAGCAAGGAGGAACTGGCAATTAGATAAAATTATATATAATATTATTGGAAAAAAATTAACGATTGCGTGACTAGTTTGGCAGAAATTGGGCAGGTGAATAAATTATGTGAGCATTTTGTTAGATATTGTGGGCAGGTCGTTGCGTGATAGTATACTGAGTTGTTTAAGTTAAATAAAATTTTGGAATTTTTAGGTCAAGATAACAAATCGTGAAGTTTTTAATTCTCTACTGAAATTCGTATCACGTAATATTTTTTTTTTATTTTCAAAATATTCAAAAATATTATTCATTTAGTTTCAAAAATATTTTTTTTTTATTTTAAAAAAAAACTTTTTTTGGTTCAAAAAATGATTTTAAGGTCATTAGAAGTACCTTTGAGGTCGCAAAGAGAATTTTAAATTTTGAAGTTATCACCAAAAATTTGACAAATCGAAAATAAAATTATAGATTCCGTATTTGATAGATAATTGAAATTTCAGTCAACCAAACCGTCAAAGTATCATAATTAGATCGAATCTATACAAGAAAAACATTTTTTTTGAATTTCTATTAAATGAATATTTAACTAAAATGAGTCATAATTTTTTTTAAAGATAAAAATAACATCGTCTCGTTGATATTTCTATATCAAATAAATATTTATTTATACTTACTAGAAAATTGAGCGCGCTTTGCGCGTTTCTGTTAAAATTATTATTATTGACAATTTAATTCATTTTCACAAATTTTATTTATTAATAATCAACCGTTGGTTACCATAGCAACGAAAAGCGACAGCAATGAAAACGTCACATCAACTT